GAGTGTAGTAAGTATAGCCATCATGGGGAACAAACTGAAGGTTGCTAAAGAAATTAAAAACAAATCTACCATGAGATAGATCTGGATGCATACACGTACAAAGAAAATCTCAGAATATACCTTACTTTATGTGACCAGGCTTGCTGCTGCACTATTTACAAGTTATAGGGAATCAACTCAGTTATTCATTAGTGGATGAATAAATAAAGAAAACATGATATATATTCAAAATGGAACATTTAGCCATAAAAAGAATGATACACTATCAAGTGCAATAACACAGAGCTGAAGGTCAACATGTTAAATAAGTTAGAGAAAGACAAATACCATATGGTTTCTCATGACTAACGTAAGTGATTACTAGAAGATGGGAAGAGTTGGGGGGTAGGTAGGAGGAACAGTAGGACACTGGATAACAAGGTACCCAAACAATTAGAAATGCTAAGTTCTAATGTTTGATAGTATGGCAAGGATGACAGCTCATAATACTGTTATATACTTAATGAATAAGCAGAAGAGTTGGGAGGTTTCAAACAAAAATATGAGGAAAACAGTATCAATTACCTGATTTTATTAGTATGTAATTTTATATATATATATATATATATATATATATACTGAAATAGTACACTTTCCCCTTAAATACGTGTAGTTATTAGGTTAATCAAATTTTTATACATTTAAGGATAGAAATGTTAACTATTCTAATTTATCACTGCAGTGTACATATGTATCAAATTATGAAACTTTACCTCATAAAATCTGTATAATTAAAACAAAAAAATTAAAAATCTACAAAGTCACATTGCTGCTAAGTAGTAGTGCAAGGAGTCAAGCTAGTGTTCTCTCAAAGCCACACTGTATAAAAAACATCTGGCCAAGTGGTAGGCTGGTGAGATGAAAACTTTCTGCAGGCGGAAGCTGTCATTAGAAGACAGTGTAGACCACAGTATGACAGGTAGCCTGCAACTTGGCATTAAGGACTATGGGGCTTTTTCTGAGGCATAACACATAGCACATAGCAACAGTACCTGTTGCCATAGGTACACAGCAATTTAGAACATCTTTAAAACAACTTCCAGTCTTTTCGTTAGTGACTTCAGATCCATTCCCAGCCATAGAATTAAAGATGATTAAATTCTTGCACTACCTTACTTGGTTAATGCCCCAAAGGACCAATAATTGTATTTGCATAATTGAAAGGGGATTGCAGAAATGTGAAGTTTTGAAAAGTTGCTGGTATTAAAATCTTTCCCAATCTCAGATCAGAAATATCTGTGTGCTGACAACAAACTGAAACTACACAAAATGGGCAATAAACCAAAATTATATGAAGAAATACAAGTAGAGAGCTGTGATTCATAATAGTTGGTTAAAGATAGGAATGTAAAAAATTTTACCTAGTGTTCAATTATTTTAAAATCTTATTGCAGAACACGATTTTGCAAAGTACAGCACAATGTTAGGTGCCACTTACTTGTAAAACAATACTTTGTCAAAAGGTTTAGAAACTTCAGGATCACAAAAAGGAGCTTTTCTACAATATCACTAATGTGTCCTGCAAATCACAAAGATAAGGTAAAGGGAGGGACTTTCTGTAATCAACTTGATCATACAACCATTTTTGCTTTGTGGAACATTTCTTGTGATTACTGTTTGATATTTTTAGAACTGCTGCTCAAAAGAAACCAGCAACTCCATTTTAATGTCTTAATTTTAAAAATAATTTAAACAAATAGTTCTGATCAGGAACTTATGCAAAGAACATGCCTGTATGATTCTGATCATTAAAAGTGTGTAAACCAAGATCACTATTGCTGCTTAGTAGTAGTGCACTTTCAACTATAGGACAGACAGGTAAAAGAAAAAAACATCCATCTGTACTGAATTGTAAACCTAAAGCCAACTGTGACTATAAAGGTGCAATCCTATAAAATTTCCAGTTATTTACTGTGACACATACACATACTGGGCTAAAAAGTATAATGCCATATTTTTGTATTCAAAAGATCTACATGGATACTTAGAAGTTTTTTTTTTTTTTTTTTTTTTAGTGGGGCCGTACAAGGTTAGATGAGAGCAAGGGAAATCAATAACACATGAAATTCACAGCCAGGTGTGGTAATCTCGGCACTCAGGAGGCTGAGGCAGGAGGACTGTTCCAAGTTTGGGACCAGCCTGGACTACAAAGTGAGCTCAGGTCAGCCTGAGCTGCAGAAATAGCCAGTCTCAAAAAGACAGAACAAACAAACAAAAACCAATGCTGTAAAAGTCTTCAAATTTCAACCTAATATTATAGCATTTGAATTGTTCTGGCTCCAAAATACTGTTATTTAAAAAGTTGAGATGAATATTCCTGTGAACACATTATTGTGTTCACTAATGGATTGGTTGTATCGATAATGTATGCTCATAATAAATTAACTGTGACTGTGTTATTCTTACTATCATGTGTAATAGGAATTTTATCTAAGAGTTCCAAACTCAGAGGCAAGGAGTGTGTTTCTCTTATTTATAATGTATTAAGAGGTATGACTTGCCTGCACTCTACGCTACTGGTGGGAATACTCACGAAACGGAGCAAAAGGATTCAAAGACTAAAGGAATTTTAGAGATAAAACCCTCCAAAAAGCATGGGAGAAGGAACTGGATGTAAACAAGTAAGCGAGTGTTAGCTGCACTTCTTCCTTTTGTGTCTTATGTTGACAAATAGCACAACCTAAGCTGGGGCCAAGACCGAACCCAGAATTAATCTGTAAGACCACATCTTTGGCTGAAGAGATAGCTTGGCTATCTAAGTGCCTGCCTGGCAAGTTCAAGCACCCAAGTCTGATCCCTGGCACTGCAGTGCCAGCCCCATGTGCTAAGCTGGCCACCGAAACTGGACATGGTGGCACACACCTGTAATTCCAGTGCTGTGGAGGGTGAGACAGAAGGATCACTATGAGTCTGGGCTGTGTAGCGAGACCCTGTACCAAATGAATGAATGAATGAATGAATGAATGAATGATTGAATGAATGATTGAATGATTAAAAAAAAGACCACATCTTCCTGGAAGCCTCTGTGGCCCTTTCTCAAGTCCTCCTCCTTCTTTCCACTGCTACTTTACAGGTGAATCATGAAATGAAACAGTGAAATCTGAGTGTGACAAAAACTGTTAACCAGTATCAACAATTTCAAATTATTCAACCTGAAACCATTTTAATTCAGATGCTCATCATCTCTCATGGATATTTTTTTGCTAACTTACAAACTCTTGTTTCCATCAAATTCTACAGTCATCTTTGTAAATAAAAATCAAATGATGGCACTCTGCTGGTTAAATTCCTTTAAAAGCTCCATTTCTCCTTAGAAGCAAAATGACATACATTCACTTAGCATACTACTCATTTTAGTCTCCAATTCTCACCTTCTCTGGCCACTGTCTCTACACATTCCCACTGCATGCTCGAGTAACACTGCTGCATTTGCAGTTTCCTTCTACACTATACAGTTTATCTTTGTGCTTTTGTACACGTCCTGTTTACTTGAAAATGCCCTCCCCTACTACTTTCTTTTCCTTTTCTTCCTCAGATTCCCAGTTAACCTGTAAGACTACTGTTTCTGTGATACTGCCTGGCCATCCACGCAGCAGTGGTCAGTCTCTCTCTGTTTATACCTAATAAACAGGGTATGTGGCTTTAATGCTACACTCTGTTAGTTCTTTCTGTGTTTAGATCCTCATGAGACAATTCATTAAAATAGCATTTTAGTATTTATACAGTAAGAACCTAATATTAACCATTAAACTGAACAAAAGGGCCTGAGAAAAGTTCTGATGGAATGGGATCACTGTGTCATTCTTTCTTGACACCTGCCATCTTGCTTACTCACTCCTTGATCCTGTGTTGGTGTTAATGAGAATACACAGGTTCTTGGGCTGTTCTGGGTGAGACAGGTAATGAGAATCTTTCCCCAGCAGATGATCTCAAGATATAGCATTATACTGATGGGAATATTCCTGAGGTAAGCTGGCTAGAACAGCTATGATGGTGAAGTGTATTATTTATATGAAACAGACCTAAGCAAGTTAAGGGAATACCTTTACTTTTTTCTCTTCTCTTGACATCTTTTTATCTGTTCTATAAATAATAATTTGAATTCTAAAATGACTTTTTTCTCATATACAATCACTATTGCATCTGTATAATAAATACAACAATCAAAAGGTTCATTTTAGAAAGCAGTGTAAGAATACTCATATACATAGTAAACAAACTGCTGAGTTTTTGGACTGCAGTCCCACCTATGTGATCATTAAAACATCCTCCTCTGTTCATTCACCATGCCCAGGGCTGACACACTAGGTATCATAAACCAGCTAAGTTGCATTTAATTTCTTACTACCAACAGCTGGAAGAGTTAGTACCTAGAACACAGAGATATTTGATGATTGTAATAGTGGTGGTGATGAAAATAAAACAATGCCAGGAGCAACAGCAACCTCCATTTAGTGAACATTTCCTATGTCCCTGGTATCAGCTGGGCCACTTGGTAGACACGACTTTACTAAATTCTCACAATACTCACAGGTAGGTATTACCTGAGTTTTTATATATTAATATACCTGATGTGATGACATTGGGTCATTTAAATGATAGACATAAAATGTGAACCCATCTCTGTTGTAGTCTAAAGATTTCCCTAAAAAACTTTCAGTTTTTTCAGAGATAATGTCTTGCTATGTAGTACAAGCAGCCCCGTCTGGCCTCAAACTTGTGATCCTCCTGCCTCAGCCTCCTAAGGGCTGAGATTACAGGTACAAGCCACCATACCCAACCAACACCTTATTCTGAACTATGATGGAATAAAACTAAATTTTAAAAGCTCCCTCTTCACTTTTTCTCTGAATGTTTGATTAGTGTACTACTATAAGACACATAAAAATGAAAGCTCATGCTGTAGAACGTACAATGCTGGCCACTGTGATGTTGTGTGGTCAGTTTTCTCTGAAACTTACTTTTGATTTACTGTGTCGGATGAGAGCAGACAGCAGTCTGTTCGACTCTCCCATCACACCAGCATGATCTTTGGCTTCACACCACTCCACTAACCGCTCCACTAATTTAACATTCTTCCCCAGTTGTTCAGCAGCTTCTGCTGTAGGAAAGAAGGCAAACAAAAGAAATCACTAACAGTCAATCATCTGAAAGAACAGTTAAAGATGTTAAGAATGTGAAAAAATTTATATCCCAAAACACAGCACAGTAATTTTATTAAAGCAGAAACTGCAAATATTCTCTAATACATATTGGCTTTTTCTATTAAGTTGAAAGCTTTCATACAAAATATAAAAATAAATGACTTTATAGTGGTATTCTGTTAGTACTATGCCAGACTGTAACAAAGGATTTTTAAACAGACTCTAGGGCCAGGGAGAAAGCTAAGTGGCATACATGCCTCCCTAGCAAGCGCATGGTCCTGAGTTCAATCCCTGGTACCACAAAAAACAAAACTAAACAAAACAAACAAACAAAAACAGACTCCAAGCAATCAATATAGGGGGTTTTAGAATTTAGGAACAGCTAAATAAACAATTCCTAACATGATTTTCATTATTGCTTCCGTGAACAGAAAACTGCTTTCCCAAAACTTTAAAAATTTTGACTGCTACTGATTTCTGAAGACACAGTAAATACTGAGTATGGGAAACAAAAACACAGAAAGCCTGAGGAATCAATAATAAATCAATTTAAAGCCTGGATTATCTGTATGAATAGAGATACAGTATAATTTCCACTTAAAGTCAGCTAGAAGAAGCCAGAGAATGAATGACTACCATTCTAAAACCAATACCTCTTAACTTTTATTTGCCATTTAATTTTATGATTATATTACTCTGAATGCTAAAAATCAAGTCTTTTTTTTACTCAAAGGCAGATGATCAGTATCATACACATTAATGCAACTTGAAAAAGCATTTCTTTTACCTTGTGCATCTATTAACATTCTTAGTGTTCCCAAAAGTTTGAACTGAACAGGAGGCATTTCAGATTTAAGAAACTTCAAAACCGTCTCTGTGACCCCAGCAGATAACATTTTTGCTTTATTTACAACTAGAAAGAGATCATTGTTAAAATGGTGTCAGAATTCTTGGATGACAAATATTTAATTCAACAAACATTTACTGTCTATTTTTCTATGCAGAAAAAATTCCTGTTATTTATCTGTAAATTTTAAGAAAGGGATTGGTGGTGTATCTATGTTATCTGATTTTTCTATAGAAGTGTAACATATTTTTTAGCCTAATCTCAGAACAATTACATACATAATTTAAGAAAATGAAACTGCTGACTTACTTACAAAAAGCATATTCCTTAACTTTAAAAAATCATTTTCCTTATAGTTATCCTTTATCAGTTAGAGACATAAATACACAATATTACTGTTACAATCGCCAATGTGAAGACTACTGGTTTTGCCCTCTTCTTGATTCAGAAAGGTCCACAAATGACAAAGAATATCTCCCAATGATAGATTTTATTTTTCACAGAGTTCCCTCCTATTTTTACATCTTACCTGGAATGGCTAGATTCCTGAGGGCACTCAGGGCTGCATGCTGTACAGTTACATTTCCGTCTTCCACATGTCTATCCAGTAAGTCCATTAATTTTTCTACAATTCCACCGTCTACCATATGAATGCAATTTCCATCTGAAGAAAACAAAACAACTTTATTCCTCTTTAAAAATATCTAGAAAGACTTTATAGAACTGATACTGCACCTACTCACAACCTACACAGGAGAAAATGGAGCTGTATTGAAATAAAATGAATTCCAACCATTTCTCCCCTCAGATTTATAGATTTTTCATCTCCTAAGAAGCCTAATTATGAAGATGTTTAGACAAAATTTTGAAAGTCAAAAAAATGATCAGAAAAATCTCTCATGTAGTCTGACTCTGATTATAGTATCAGAAGTAGAAACTACATGCTTAAAGTGTCTGCTAATAGTTGTCACTTATAGTGAAGTATACTCATGTTCTGACAATATTAGTGACATTTAACTTTTTTTTTTAAAATTTTATTTATTTATTTATGTGTGTGTGTGTGTGGGGGGGCAGTTCAGCCCACCAGGGGGCGGGGCTGGCTGGCATGTGGTGCTGGGGGATTGAACCGCGGTCCCTGTGCTTTGCCAAGCTTGTTTTAAGTAGGTGCTTTAGACCACTGAGCCATCTCACCAGCCCGACATTTAACTTTTGTTATCATGGCTGGTACTCATTTTTCACAGCAGAGAATTACAACAAACCATTATTTATCTCACATTTAGCTTCAATAATTGCCAATATTTTGCCAGTTTTAACTTCAGGATTACAGAATTATGCTCAAAAAACAAAGTAAAAAAATGGGATAAGTATTTTAATGTACAGATTGAGCAATCCTAATTAAAAAAAAATCCAAAATCTGAAATGTGCTAATGTACAAATTAAGGCTGGATGTCATGGTGCACACCTGTAATCCCAGCACTCGAAAGGTTGAAGCAGAGGATCACTATGAATTTGAGGCCAGCTTAGTCTACATAAGAAAGTTCAAGGTCAGCTTGCACTATACAAGGAGACCTTGTCTCAAAACAAAAGTAAAAATTAGGGGGAGTGATGACATAATTCAATTGGAAAGTTTCACAACTGATCTCATGTGTTTAAACATCTATAAAACACAGGCACAGCAAAAATACTGCCTAAAATAACTTACAGGCATAAAAAGTTTAAGAAATTATTTAAATCAATTTTATGTGTAGTCTTGGGTCCTATCACCAAGATATCTCATGTGTATACACAAATATTACAAAATCTGAAAAATATCCCAAATCAGAAAACATTTCTGGTCCCCAGATTTTGTATAAGGGAAAGTTGACCTGTACTACTTAGCAGCCACTCATATTACAACAGAATTAAGCTGTAAAGAAAAATAACTCATGTTTGCTAGATAAAATAGTTTGAGTTTTTAGAATAGCAAGAGTGACAGATTTCATAAATGAACAGAAGTCTATGCTTCTGCAATGTTATTAAACAAAATCAAATACTCTAAACCACAGGATTATTCATACTTGAATTTTATGGATATAAGAGTGTCACAATAACCCTATGTTGAATACTCAGATTATTCAAGTAAAATTAAAATCACCAGGCCAAAGAACACCCCCCCCCCATATCAGAGATATATTAAATGGCACTCACATTTACTAAGATCTGTAGTGTAAAATATTGAAAAGAAACACTTTGTTTTGGTGGAACCGGGGATTGAACTCAGGCCCTTGCACTTGCCAGGCAAGCACTTATTCTACCAAGTCATCTCCCTGGCCTCAAGAAGCACTTCTTGATCACTATGCATGATCTTTAAACTACAGAATTTTATTCATTTATTTACTTTACTCCCAGAATTTTAAATAATAAAGTCACTACATTTATTGTAGACTGCTGAAAAAGAAGGCAGCACACACCTTTCTGAACCATTACTGTCTTAAGTACATGTGACAGGAAATAAAAAAATTTGAAAAAGGAGAACCTTTGATTTACAAAGGGAGAGTTAATTTATTTACCATTTCTGGCAAAATTTGCAATTGCCAATGCTCCAGCAAGCTGTAGCTGATGGTTATTTGATGGAATCCAAGAAAGGACTCTCTGGAACACACTGCCTTTCCCCCCTTCAAATAGTTTCTGCATGGATTCATCTGGAGGTAAATCAAACAAAGAGATAAATATTAATCAGGAGTAACAAATTCATTTTTCTAAATGAATATACAACAGGAGAACTACACATCTCACAAGTTAAGTTCATTATGTGAAAAGTAATAACTGTTTTCTTTTTCAAAAGCTTTTAGTGGAGACTACATAATAAGAGTTTAAAAGTTTTCCAGTACAAATTTCAATTGCCAACTAGCTTTGGTCCAACTGGTGCTACAAATGTTTCTTCTACATGGCTGTCCTTCAAATATTGAAGGACAGCAAAGACTAATCCACCGCCTCCAGTTCTTTGCATGCTGTGCTTAAGAGTTTCAATATCAGCACATCAACGAGGAGAGGAAAACGAAAACAAATGCCTATTCTAGTGTCTACACAAGAAACTCAAAACACAATTTGACAACCATTTTCTTTGACAAAAATTACAACTCACCTCCAAGAAGTAATAAAACCATTAGATCTGAAGCAGTTTTGAGTTCGGCAATGTCATCCTCTTTCTCACTATCTACCTTCTGCTGAACAATCTCTAGTAGACACTCTACCAGGCCTGCTTCAACCAGCTGTAGTTTAATAGCATCTACGAACAACAGAAAAAACCACCAAAATTTTAGATGAAATGCGAAGTCTAGTACAAACAATTCATTATGTAATTAGGAAAAGGCTTGACTTAGATACATCACCTTCAATGATTTGAGTTTCAAACAAAATAGTGCAGCCTAAATATACAAATATTGTATCTCATTTTTTCCACTGGAAATTTATCCTTATGTGTGTTCCATCTGCTAAACAAACCAATTCTCAGCTCTAAAGGCAATTGCTATCACTCTGGTATTATTCTAGATCTTATACTTAAATTGATAGCCAATGCTAGATTACATATTATATATGCCTAAATATATATATTTGTCATATAAATTTAAAGTTCTTCTACTGAGGGGTCTTGAATACTATAGAAAAATAAAGAGCTATTAGTAAATTTCAACCTACACCCTAAGTATGTACAGCTTCATATTTGTATAGATCTTAATTTCCAGGTGTGTATACGGTACTGAAGGTCTAAACCAGGACCTTCACACTGATATACATATTCAGTCCTTTTTTATTTTGAAACAAGGTCTTGCTAATTTGCCCAGCATGGGCTGAATTTTTTTTTGTCTTTTTGAGACAGGGTCTTGCTGTGCAGTTCAGGCTAGCCTAAGCTCACTTTCTAGCCCGAGCTGTTCTTAAACTCTCAATGATCCTCTTGCCTGAGCTTCCACACCCTGCTGGGCATAACTTTTGCTCTTTCTCATTCAGTTTCTTGGGATCCCTGTGATGACAGGCTTGTGCTACCATGCTTGGCTAAATGTTAATTTTTCTGGCATACTTCATCTATAACCTTCTGAATGTTAAAAGTCATGTTTTTAAAAAGGGCTTAGGCTTTTTACCAAGATGAGTTTTTAAATTTAATTTATTTTTATTTTTTTAATCATTTATTTATTTACAGGGTCTTGCTATGCAGCTCAGATTCATGGTGATCCTCCGTCTCAGCCTCCCTAGTGCTGAGATTACAGGGGGCATGTGCCATCCACCATACCAGCTCAGTTAACTGTATACACATTAAACTGTGCATATATATACAACAGTAGTTGTACCTCATCATTTGGTAGGCAGAAGAAACACTTCAAAAAATACACATTTAAAGGTATTTTTCTTTTAGGCAACTTTAATAAATAAAAATTTAGAGTTTTACTATCTGCAAGACCACTAATTTTCTTTTGAATATTATCTCAAACTACACAGAATATTCAACCTGAAGTATTTTTTTTTTTTTTGTAATGCTATTCTGAAAGTAGGATGTTTCCTTGGTTACAGAAGCAAGAACTAGAAGCATGATAGAAACTGAAAGCCACTAAGTAGGCATGGCATTGCTTGCCTATAAACTCAACACATGGGAAACTAAGACAGGGAGATCACGAGTTCAAGGCCAGGCTGGGCTACATAGTGAGTCTGAGGACAGCCTGAACTGCATAGTGTGATCTTGTCTCCAAACCCAACCAAGCCCCTTGAAAATACTAAAACCCCTAACCTATACAAATCCCAATGTATATTACTTACACTATATGTCAGAATTACTACCCTTTATATACCAAGAAAAACCACTAAGTCCTGAGACAAGTTTTCAAACATGTCACTCTATTCACAACAAAATTATGAAACAAAGATGAAGATGTAGAGAATGCAAATAAAGAAATTACTTATTTTCAAAATATACAAGTACGGGATAGGTAATAAAACTGAAGATCACAATAAAATTTTCATTTTACAGAATCACCAAATGAGATGAAAAAAAATTTTTTTTCTCCTCAGAGTAAGATCTGTCATTGAGAAAATGTAGAATGTCTTAAGATTAAAGACCATAGATCTCTCTTCTCATATTTTCACTATAAATCAAAATATATTTAAAAGGCATAAATTGTTTTAATCAAAATGAGCAAGGCATTCTGGCAATGAAGACAGCTTTAGCACATTTATCAACACTAATTTGTACAAGGTCATCTATATTTATTGTTACTATTTGGATAAGTACATGTAAATGTCTATGTATTTATTATATGCTTGTATATTAAAGTTTTTTTAATGGTGAATACCCCAAAATGCAGAAGAGCACAAAATATAAATAGTAAGTATAATCAATTATTAAGAAACAAATTACCATGCATCATAAACGAGGTCAAGAAATTCATTGTTAATAATCCAGAAAGCCTCTCTTTGCATTCCAGATTACAAACAGCTCCCTGCATTCTTCTGTTAATACCCGAGTTGTCATGGTAGTGACCCTGACACCTTTATCATTTCACCAAAATAATCACTACTGAAAAATTGCTTTAAACTTTTTAAACTTTACATATGTGAAACCGATTACATATGTATTTTCAATGCTGACTTTTTCCCTTACACATACTATAAGATTCATACATACCAGAACTGGGCAAGGTGGCACAAGCCTGTAATCCCTGCATCTGGGAAGCTAAGGCAGGTGATCACTGAGGCCACCCAAGGCTACACAGTGAATTTGAGGTCAGAATGAACTGCATAGCAAGAGCCAGTCTCAAAAAGAAAAAATCAAGATTCATGCACACTAATGTTTATAGCGGTCTTTGTTCCTTTCCATTTTTCCTACTATATGAATGCACCAGTTTATTTATTTATTATTTTATATATATTTTTTGGCTGGCTCAGAATGCCTTCAGGGCAGGTTTGAGACCTAGGGATCGAACCACAGCAACCTGAGCTTGACTGCTTTGTTGAAGCAGCCACTCAAAGAACTGAGCTAAGGGGCAGGTCCCTTGCACCAGTTTATTGATCATTCTAAGTTACAAGTTTATGAGTTTGTTCAGATTTCTTGTTATCATAAATCATGCTGCTTTGAAAGTAACTGCAATGGTTCCTGGAAAGCATGAAAATAGTTTTCTGGGTACAGAATGTGGTTGATTTGAGTCTGTCCCAGCTTCAGATGTTTTTATCTAAGTTTCACCAATTTATATTCCTACCAAGATTTCAGGACAGTTCCATACTCTCATTAATACTTGGTATTATAAGATTTTCCATTAGATATACAGTAAGTGGTTTTATGTTACAGTGTCTACTAAGAAACTGAGTGTATTTCTTTTGTCAAGTATGTGCTTTTGTGTGTGCGTGCGCATTTTTCCACTAGGTTTTCTCTATTTTTCTTAACAATTTGTGGGAGTGTTTATATATTCTACATATTTACAAACCTTTTCCCAGGTATATGTGTGGAGTTTCTCACTTACTGGCTTCTTACTTTTAATGTATCTTTTGGAAATGAAAGTTTTTACTTTTAAGGTAATCAAAGTTATTAACCTTTCTTTTATAACTAAGAGCTCTGTGATCCAAGCAAACTTTTTATATTTCAAGGTCACTTTTTTTTTTTTTTTTTTTTTTTACAAATTTTCTGGTTTTAATTTTCGCAGGTTAGTAATGTACCTGGAATTAACTTTTTTTTTTTTTGAATTAACTTTTTTATATAGTATGGTGTGTGTGAATATCTCAAATTAGATTTTTCTCATAATCCCAGTACTGTTTATTGAAAAACAATATACTTTCATAGTATTTTGTAGTGATATTTTAAAAATCTAATATATCCTGGGATATGTGAACAAGAATCTTGGTCATCCTTGAACTGGTATTAAACTGTTTTTTTACTTAATACAGTTTTTTTTTTTTTTTTTTTTTTTTTTGAACCGGGGATTGAACTCAGGCCCCTGCACTTGCCAGAGAAGCGTGTATTCCACTGAGCCATCTCCCCGGCCCTCTTTTTTTTGGTTAGTAGTTTTATCAGGATAAAGTTTTGTTATTGTTACCCAGTAAGACCAGCTGTCCTACCACATTCTTTTTAACATTATTTTGGTGACAGTCTGAACTTGAAATGTCTACCAAAACTCATCTGCTAAAATATAAATACTTATAAATGATTCTAAAATATGTCTATTAGAAGGGAAATGAGATAAAAGGAAGGGGATATAGAAAGCGAATGTGGAAAAGAAGATTACAGTAATAAAAGGTCCTGTTCACTTGGTTATTTATTTTTGGTACTGGGGATCGAACTCAGGACCTTGCGCTTGCCAGGCAGGTGCTTATACTACTGAGCTATTTCCCCAGCTCAGTCCTGTTCACTTGGAAGGTTAAATAATTACACATTACGCCAAAATGTATGAATTAAATACATTCAGAACTGTGAGGAGAAAATGACACAGCCATAAGTACAATGGGATATTTCAGTTTGTCTTCAGTACTTTCTACAACAAGCAGATGAAAATATGATATAAAAAATTTGAGTGACAATATTAAGAAAATGGATTTAAGCCTTTTTATTATTACCTGTTTGTAGTAAAGAATGCATTCTTTGTGCAGAGTTGGTACATGTATATAACACATCTTAGTCTCTTCTCTACCCCCTCCCCTTTCCCTCCATCTCTTGATCCCCTTCTCCTTTGAGAAAGATCTACCTCCCTACTTCCTATGATCTATCTTTTATTTTGCTATTTATACTTTGGTTCTCATATAAGAGAAATCATGTATTATTTAAGCTTGTGTGTCTGGTTTATTTCACTTAATATTATGGTCTCAAGTTGCATCCATTTTCCTACAATGACTTATCTGTCTTTATGCCAGATTAGTACTCCATTCTGTATAAATACATTTTCACTCTCCATTAATCTACTGATGGACATGCAGGCCACTTCCAAGATTTGACTATTATGACCTGTGGTACTTTGAACACGGATACACATGGATCATTATGATGTGATATCTTTAACTCTTTTAAGTAGGTATTGAGAGGAATAGGTGCATCAAATAAAATTTCTAGCTTCAATGTTTTGAGGAATCTCTAATACTGATTTCCAAATGGGCTGCATTAGTTTCCATTCCCACCAACAATGGAGAAGGGTTTCTTTTCCCTGTGGTCTTACCAGTGTGATACCACTTGTTATTATTACTTGATATCTTAATGATGGCTATTTCTGGGGTAACATGGATCCTAAGCATTGTTTTAATTTGCATTTCTCTAATGATCTGCAATGTTGAGAACATTTCTTCCTATGTTTAAGGCCATTTGTATTACTTCTGCCATACGAGCTCATTAAACTTGCCCATGTTTTGATTGGGTCTTTTATTTTGGGGCTTTTGAGTTTTTATATATTCTAGGTATCAGGCCTATAAGGTACAGATGGCAAATTTTTCCCCCCATTCTGAAGAATTGTCGTTTTTTTTTTTTTTTTTTTTTTTTTTTTTAATGAGCAGAATATATTTATTGAGAGAAAGAAAGCTCCTGTCTGAGAAAGGGACAGAAGGGGGGCCCGAGTGGGTAGCTGCCCTGAAGAATGTCTTTTTACTCGTGGTGGGTTTTTTTTTTTTAAACTGTGCACAAGCTTTTTAATTTGACATGTTCTCATTTGTTAACAACTGGTCTTTCAATAAAAAACATTCAGGCTACATACATTTAGTGCAATTAATAAAATACTGCATCTTAAATCTCCTATATTTTATTTTATTTTATTTTATTTTTTTTTAAAT